TCACGCCAACTTGTCAGGCTAGCATATGAGTCTGTATTTTTAGTTGTACATTCTTATAACAGCTAGTGTTGAGGTGTGGTTGTATAGTTTTTATAACAGTGACAGGCCCGTACCACCCCTTCCATAATGTACGGTTGCTAACTCTTTTTTTAGTAACCCTTCATGGTGTGACAGAGGCCAATAGTAAGGAATATGTTGGTAGCCTATCCCATCTTACAGTATGCCGTCAGCGGCCAGTAAGCTATGGTTGTTGAGGGCGCACACGCAACAGCTTCGAATATGTCGAACAATTTGAGCAAAATGATGATTCTCGCTAGTAGATGTTGTGTAGCAATCTGCTTATTTTGTAGAGTTTATTGTTATCCAATAATTTCTTTGAAAAGTGAGAAAATTTGACTCTTTGTGATTGTGTTCTGTTTCAATGCGACTTTAGTACATGTACACTGTATGAGATAAACAAAAGTAAAACCATAATGTGTCAAACGAGGGCGCAAGCCAGATATAATGCACGTACAACTGTACACATTTTACTCTGGAATCATTTACTGAGGTATCATCACAAACTAATTACATTTACAGGTACATATTACATTATACACATTATCTTAGGTACGCTCTAGCAGTAGTTGAATATCGGCTCAGCAAATGTACACTTGAATACTCGGTGATCCAATTGAGAGTCAACCAATCAAACTCGCTATGCAAACCAGTTGCAGATGTCGTCCAATCAGAAACGTTCACGTAATATTCCAGGTGCCGGTTACGTAATTGCGTGACATGTTAAAAGTTTCCATTCAAATTTGTCATTTTTCAAACCTACCGCTAAATACAGAGGTCCTCTAATGTTCCTCCTTCACAGAAGTTGACGTGCATTGCGAAATAAGATTGTTTTGCTGACCATTAAGACGCACTTCCGTTGAATCTGTTCACCGACCATTGTAAGCTAGAAGCTGTGAGTATATTTTAATAATCTTTTGGCTCAAGTGGTTATCGTTCCCAAATTCTACTTGACAGGACGAAACATGTAAGCGCTGAACGTTAATTGCGCAGTTTTTTTGTTTGCTTGCTGTCTTCTTTCCAGGATTGTGCCGTTTCGTGCAATTGACGATAAATTGTGCGTAATTGCAACATGGATTTCCAAGCCATGTGATGCGAATTTTCTGTCGAATTCTTTTGGCTTGCGGTTTCCCAACGTCGCAAGTCGTCATTGGAGTTTCGATCTAAAGACTCTTTTTTTTTTTTTTAATGTGTACACCTGTGTGAATTTGTGCGCAGCTTTTAAATCGGTTTTGCGATCGAGAGATTAGACTAATATCAGAATTCGGAAAGACTTTGTACCATTAGGGGCTAGATAAGGTTGGGGCGGCTGTAATGGAAAGTCTTTCATCGTTCAACTGCCTCACGATTAAGTACAGACAGCACCTCAGTTGATCAACCGATCAGATTACACGCATTCTTTACATAGGTAAAAAAAAAAAAACATTCAACAGGTAAAGTCCTCGGTTATTTTTATTACTATCAACCGCCAATACATTTGTATTATTTTTTCGTTTCACTTCATTACAGATGGCTCAACAGACAGGAAGCTCTAACGTTCCCCTACTTCTGATGGCAGGCAACACTGTCCAGACACCGTCCGTTCCTACCCAACAATGCGTACCTCAAATGGTATCTGGGCAACCCCAGTCGTGTGTCAATCTAATTCCATTTGGTTCGCAGCCTTATCCTCAATATCAGTTGGTTGCCGGTAAGTGAAATGTGCATATTTAAAAAAAATGCGGGCACAAAAATGTCATAACCGATAGAATTAAAAGCTCGATAGGTTTTTCGATCATTTTGTAATTTACTGATCACAAAAAAGGGAACTGATTTTGTTCGGCGTATCTCTTCATATTCATATAGATTCTTTAGCTGTCGGTCATAGCCCAGACAACAAATAAATTTATTATTTGTCTGAAGTCAAAGCATGAACTTAACTTGCTGTCCGTTGACAATGTATTGAGTTTTCTCTTGTTTCCTAATTTTCAAGATTTCCTAACTACAGTAAGAAAAAGTTTGATAAAGTTGGGGGGTGTCGTGTCGGGTGACGTTTGAAACTCTATACAAAACAAAGTGTCAATTTGACACCATGACACTTCATCGCGATATAAAAATATCAGATCTGTTTTCTTTTTTAGGTGGACAAATGCCTCAGTTTCAGACTTACATTCTGCAGCCCACTGGTACCACCCCTGTTGCCGAAAGAGCACAGTTCGTAGTACCTCAGTCGATGCCGTATTTCCAACAGCCGCAGTTTATCATTGCCCCTGGCCAACAGACCATACCGACCAGTCAGCAGCAGACGTTTGTGACAGGTGGCCAACAAATCATGGCCATGAACACTGCAACGCCTGCATTCATGTCGTCCAATCACATACAAGTAAGTTATCACTATACTATCAATATATCAGGACTGTAAACATTTCGTTTTCTATCTAGTTTTATAAGCCTTAACTTGTGTATGCGTGAGTGTCTGGCGATATAAAAAAATGTCGTACAATGACTGTTTGGCGGGGAGTAGGTCTTTATGGTTTCATTTATTATTCGCAAGTTTATCTGACCTATTCTGCTTAAATTGTTCAGTGATTCTAACTTGTGTTTCATTAATTTTGTCAAGTACGTTCCAGCAAGTGCCCTGCACTCGAACCAAAGACAACTCTCTCCGAATGCATCCGGCGTTTCGAAGGCTCTTTGGAACACTCAAACATCCGGGCAACTAGGAGTCTCGCTATCGCCTAGATACGTGGATGTGAAGGCAGGCCAACAGTCGGGATTGTTGTCACCCAGACCTTCCGGTCAGAGTACCATGTTAGCCTCTCCTAAATCGCCTTCCAGAATTCCGTTTCAAGAGCTAGAAATCAGACCTAATGAACATACGACAAAACCAAAACCAATGCAAGAGACAAGTGCTACAATGCGTGAACCGGAAGGTATCAGTAAGATGACAGAGAAGCTAAACAAATCGGACAAAATGGTGCCAATTTCTCTTAAAAATAAGTACGAACACATCAAATACAACCCAGAACTTGAACCAAAATATTTCGGAGATTGCTTCAACGTTTCCGGGCTAGTTCGGGGAGACGACGAGTACAGTCAGGATAGAAAGAGAAGACTACGTCTGCAGGAGTACCTTCGTGATAGGCCAATAAAGACGAGGCAAGCGCCACCAACGCCCATGTTTGCAGTCTATCAACTGAGAGAGAAGAACTGGGACAAAAAAATCAGAAAGAAGAGTGAGAAAATCGGGAAGGTGAACAAAAGTGGACGAGGTTTCCGTAATTTGAGTGACCTTCTTGGCAGCATGAACTCGGACACTTTCACACGGATGGACGATGCTGAATTCAGAAATTCCCACCACCACGCTTGGTCCAAATCCCACCCCAGAATGCCCTCCGATAGCGATTCTGATGACGAGTATAAAGATGACGATATCGATGATGACGTTTTCGATCAAGATGATGCTAATACGCGCCAACCGAGATTGCAAAGTTTTGGGTTCGCGACCCCCAATCGTCAGGGAGTTGCCACGACCACGCCAGAGGTCTCTCCAACTGAACAAGATTCCCACATAAGCCCTGTGAGTAGCGAATGCTTGAAGGATTCGGCGTTCAGCGACGATTCTACCCCGGATGAGCTCGACTCTGAGGGTCACCGCAGTGCTGACAATCTCGCCACCAATGTCGGAAAGAATCCCACGGTCGACACCATTCCAAAGATGAAAAGGTCAAAGTCCGGAAAGAACGTTCTCGAATTGATTGCACAGGAGTTCGAAAATGAAAGGCGTGCCACGAAGCGTACTGAACAAGAAGCCAGGCAGGATTTGAAAGTCACTAAAGGTACGTACACAATGACTTCTACCTGCGGTACAACTTTCGTGGTGACGATGTCCGTTCATACTAATATTAATCCCGGCACCTTCTCTGCACTAAAGTGTCGCTTTATGTACATCTTCCGTGGTTGTGTGGAAGTAATTTATCCCGTAAATGTACGTGTTGTCACTTTAGTGATTTGTTGTGACGCAATCATATTCATTATTTCTTTTAATTTTTAGGCAATCCTAACCAAAATAAGCGTGGTCTCAAATCTCCATCTCGCCTTGGAGGTATGTCAAAGAGGGCGAAAATAACTTCACCAAGATTCACTCGAAAAGGTAAATCGCTGTTTTGTCAAACTTGTGTTATCAAAATGTGAAATTTCACGCAAAGTCCCACAAAAGCCATTTACCGAGATGTGTATAATCTCGGACAACTATCTGAGGTATAATCACCAACACGAGTATATTTAATTGTAAACTGTTTGGTTCACCTGTGATAAACACTACTATGGCAAATTTATTTAGGTTGAAGACGGATTTTGAAAAAAATGCCAGATTTCAGAATGCATAAAGCATCAACTTTACATGCGATATTTCCTAAACTTTCACAAACTCGATCAATGTTTTGTACAAATCACGCACCCTGTTGTGATGAGTTTCCATGGCGTAAAGCTATCCATACCTTTGATAGCCCTTAATTGCAGTTATTAGCCTGTTAAATGATCTAGATCGAAACTGCGGTAATGTTGTGGCCGTCCTCTACGTCATCAAAGCGGTTAGTCGCTAGATGTCG